AATAATCCATCAGTGTTATCAGAGCCCTTGATGATCTTTGAATAGTCGAAAAAGAGCAGAGAAATTGAAAAGGTAGAGTGTTCAGTTCAAATCCGGTAAGCAAGAAGCAAATACGGTAAGGAACCATAAAATACGTTAACTTGTGTAAAAATCGATAAGCATTGTGCAAATCTGGTAACTTCAAAAATTGGTATGTGCAAATTCGGTATGTTGTATAAAACTCGGTAAGCTCTTTGCAAATCCGGTAAGTTCAGCCTCGTGTTTCTTTCTTCTTTCACCCTCTTTGACAACCAGAAATTCTGAGAGAAAACAAGTAAGGAACATTTACTAGCAAACATGTGAGTGAGAGTAATGGCTTCCATCGGATTTTCAGCACCTCTTCCCTCACTTTTTAATTGAGAAAATTATAATTTTTGGGTTGAAAGATGAAAGCCTATCTCAAGGCTTATGACCTTTGGAAGATAACCGAGACAAGCATTGACCCTCCACCATTGAAAGCTAACCCCACGGTTGCTCAAATCAAACAATACAATGAAGATGTTGACAAGAAGTTCAAAGCTCTCTCACGCATTCAGTATGCTAGTTTAGATTCTATATTCACAAGGATAATCACTTGTGAAATAGTAAAGGAAACGTGGGATAGATTGAAGAAATAATTCCAAGAAAGTGAGAGAACCAGGCAAATGCTTGTCCTGAATCTGAGAAAGCAGTTTGAAACTCTAAAAATGAAGGATTCAGAATATGTTAAGGATTTCTTTGATAGGTTGATGAAGGTGGTGAATCAAATATGGTTGTTAAGAGATGATTTGCTAGACTAGAGAGTAGTCGAGAAGGTGTTAATCAGTCTGCCAGAGAAGTTTGAATCCATGATTTCATCATTTGAAAATTCAAGAGACTTGGCTAGCATCTCTTTGGCTGAACTTATGAATGCCATTCATGCTACAAAACAAAGGAGATTGTTCAGGCAAGAAAAGCAAACTGAGGGTGCTCTGTTTGCTAAAGGAAAGTAGAGAACCAAAACAAGTTTTGGTGGAAAGAAGCAACAAAATGAGAAGAATGAAGCTGTTAAAGATTCTGGAAAGGATACTAAGTATCCTCCTTATCCACATTATAAAAGGAAAGGTCACTCAAATAAATGGTGTTGGTTCAGACCTGGAGTCCAATGTAGGTCATATAAACAATTTGGACATGTGGAAAAGGTATGCAAAAATTAGGAGGAAAAGAAAGAACTTCAACAGGCGAAGGTTGCTGAAGGTCAGGCTGAAGAACATCTCTTTTTAATCTTGAATCATACAAAGTTCAAACATGGTTGCTTGATAGTGGCTACACTCATCACATGACATCAAAAGCAGAAATTATTGTGGAGATGAATGATAGCAACAGATCAAGAGTAAATTTTGGAAATGGGGAGTATGTGGCAGTGAAAGGCATTGGTAATGTCTCAGTTCTGACTCCAACAAGTAATAATTTCATTTCTGATGTCTTATATATTCCAAATATTGATCAGAATTTGATAAATGTTGGCTGATTAATTGAAAAAAGCTATACCTTAATACTTAAGGATAGGAGTTGCACAATTTTGGACCAAAGTAATCAGGAGTTGATGATAGTTGAGATGAGGCATAGAAGTTTTCCATTAGAGTGGAAAAATATGAGTTCACATGCCCTTACTAGTACTGTGATTGAGTCTGAATTGTGGCATAAATGATTTGGGCATGTTAATTACACTTCATTCAAGCATTTAAATGAACATGAGCCAGTGGAAAATATGCCAAGAATATGTGATGCTACTTATGTCTGTTAAATCTGCTAAAAAGGAAAGTAAGCCGGACTTCCTTTTCCCCAAAACCAATCTAGAAAAGCTTAAAGCAAACTTCAATTGATTCATTCTGATGTCTGTGGGCCTATGAAGATTTCAACCCTGAATGGCAGTAGATATTTCATTCTATTCATTGATGATCTCACCACAATGTGTTGGGTATATTTTCTTAGAATGAAATCTGAAGTACCTGCAGTTTTTCAGAAGTTTAACAACTTTGTTCAGAATGAAAGCAACTGTAAAATCAAGGCTATTAGGACTGATAATGGAACAGAATATACCAACAATCAGTTCAATAAATTTTGTAAGGAAGTGGGAATTAAACATATGTTAACAATTCCCTACTCACATCAGCAAAATGGAGTCTGTAAAGGAAAGAACATGACTGCAATGGAGATGGCTAGATGTTTATTGTAGGAGAAAAATATGCCTAAGGTGTTTTGGGCTAAGGCTGTGAATACCTCAATTTATTTGCTAAATAAGCTATCCACAAAAGCCTTGGACAAACTAATTCCTTATGAGGCTTAGTATGTAGTTAAGCCAAATATACCTCACTTGAGAGTGTTTGGAAGTGTATACTATATGCACATACCTGATGTCAAAAGAGATAAGTAAAGTCAGAAAGTGGAGGCTAGAGTTTTGGTTGGATACTGTGATAATGCTAAAGGCTATGTGATTTATAATCCTCAAACCAGCAAAGTCATTTCCTGCAGGGATATCAGATTTGATGAAAGTTCTACATGGAATTGGGAATCAAATGCAGTGAATAAGTCTGAGATTCCCAGACTGATTTCTCAAACAGAAGATGTTGGTAATGATGATAAAGAAATGGAAGATGATGCTGAACCTAAAGATGAATAGATTCAAAAAGTGAAGTGTTGAGAACATAATCACTTCAGGATATTTATACTACTTGTAATTCTACAATTTAGGAGCCTGCAAACTATAATAAAGCTACACATTCTAAGTAGTGGATAGAAGCCATGAAGGATGAGCTTATGGCAATTGAAAAGAATCAGACTTGGCTACTTGTTGACAGACTAAGAAAAAAGAATGTCATAGGAGTTAAGTGGGTATTCAAGACAAAGTTGAATGCTGATGGCTCAATCAATAAGTTCAAAGCTAGGATAGTTATTAAAGGCTATAGTCAGGAATTTGGGATTGATTTCACCGATACATTTGCTCCTGTTGCTAGACTTGAAACAATAAGATTGTTATTTGCAATGGCTGCTAAATCAAAATGGAAGATATATCAACTTGATGTAAAATTTGTCTTCCTAAATGGGCATCTGAATGAAGAGATTTCCTTAAGCAACCTGAAGGCTTTACCAAAGAAGGAGGAGAGGATAAGGTGTATTTACTGAGGAAAGCCTTATATGCCTTGAAACAGGCGCCATGGAGTTGGTATAGCTAAAGAATGACACTTGGTTGCTTGTTGACAGATCAAGAAACAAAAATGTCATAGAAGTTAAATGTGTATTCATGACAAAGTTGAATGTTGTTGGCTCAATCAATAAGTTCAAAGCTAGGATAGTTATTAAAGGCTATAGTCAGGAATTTGGGATTGATTTCACCGATACATTTGCTCCTGTTGCCAGACTTAAAACAATAAGATTGTTATTTGCAATGGCTGCTAAATCAAAATGGAAGATATATCAACTTGATGTAAAATCTGTCTTCCTAAATGGGCATCTGAATGAAGAGATTTCCTTAAGCAACCTGAAGGCTTTACCAAAGAAGGAGAAGAAAATAAGGTGTATTTACAAAGGAAAGCCTTATATGGCTTGAAGCAGGCGCCAAGGAGTTGGTATAGTAGAATTGACAGTCATCTCAGTAGCCCTGGTTTCAACAAGAGTGTTGATGAGAAAACATTGTATATCAAACCAATGAATGAGGATCTGCTCATTATTTCACTCTATGTAGATGATCTCTTAATCCTAGGAAATAATGCAGCCTTGATTGATAAGATAAAAGATGAATTGAAAAAGGATTTTGAGATGACTGATCTAGGTGAAATGAAATATTTTCTGGGAAAGGAGGTTGATCAAACAGAGGATGGTATTTTCGTTTGCCAATGGAGGTATACTAAAGAAGTGTTAAAGAAGTTCAATATGGAGAATTGCAAATTAGCTAACACTCATTTAGTTCAAAATTCAAAGTTGATGAAAGATGATTGTGCAAAGAAAACTATTGAAAAGGTTTATATGAGCTTGGTTGGATGCATGCTCTACCTAACAACCACAAGACCAGACCTGATGCTTGTTGTTAACTGGTACCTAGATTCAGGCAAGAGCCAAGTGAAATTCATTTCCAAGCTGGAAAAATAGTGCTGAGATATATCAGAGGAACAAAGGAGTTTGGAATCAGCTGATTCTGGCTGGCTTTATTGATAGTGATTGGACAGGTTCTTTTGATGACATGAAGAGCACTTCAGGCTATGCTTTCTATGCTAGTTCAAGTCTTGTCTACTGAAACTCTATCAAACAAAAAATGGTGGCTCAATCCACAGCTGAAGAAAAGTATATAACAGCAACCGAGGCAACTAATCAAGCAATTTGGCTGAGAAAAATTCTAAATGATCTAAAGTACCAACAATCTGAGGCAACTACCATTCTTTGTAACAACCAATCTGTAGTAACAATTGTGAAGAATCCAGTGTTTCATGGAAAAAACTAAGCATATAAATATCAAGTATCACTTCATGAGGGAAGCTCAAGAAATGAAGGAGATAGAACTTAATCACCCCAGTTCTGAAGAACAAGTTGTTGATAATATTACCAAAGCATTGCCAAAGGAAATGTTTGAAACATTAAGAGAATGTCTTGGTATTTCCAACAAAAGTGTCAAGGAAGAGTGATGAATTAAGTGTGACGCTTTTGTTGTTAAGAAGATGTATTGTCGCACATTTTTTGTTCAATTGTCTAGCTTATGTTATGATGGTTGGTTAGACTAGTTTAGTTTGATTACAAGTTGTTGTATTAGACAAGCAAAGTGTAGTGGTAGTAGGTAGAATAGTTGGTAGGAAATAATTTTATTTTGTATCAATGTATGGCTATATGTATGCAACCGTGTACTACCATTTTGGGTGATTGAATGAAACATCTTTCCCTCCTCTTTATCTTCAATAATCCATTAGTTCAACTTTCCAATGGAATTGAATTGTTTGGTTTTCCAATTTTAGGTGTTACTTATTATTTCAGCTTTGTTGGCGGATCCAGTCATTGATGATCCTTTGGTGCCTGAGATTGCTTACATGTACAAGACAAATAAGAAGAAGTATGAAGCCACTGCAAGGAGTTGGACACAAAAGTATGCCATGGGCTAGTGGATTCCCTTTTTTTGTCGTTAATGAACTATTTGATTATTCAAATTGAATTGATCCCGCACTATAACCTTATCAGTGTTGGGATTTGACTTTCTTTTCTTGTTTTCTTTGTGGATTGTTGAAAGATTAAAAATTAGTCTGTGTGATATTATCTTTTCTAAAAATTGGTCTTTGTGTGAGTAAATTCTATATGAATGTAACAAATTTTCATTTAGTGAAATCTTTGACAATCCAAATGAGTGTTCAAAATGTGATCGTCTTTGAGTTGGAGGCTATTGGAATTAAAATTGATGGAAATTATAAAGCATTAAGAATCGTATGGTCATTCCCATGCATCTTCTTGTAAGGCACATCAAAACCATTTTGATGCATGGAAAAGACACTGAATTTAGCAAAATTGAAAAGTAAATTGATGTTTGAAGAAAGAAAGTTGGATGGAACTAATATTTCATATGAAAACTCGTTATATGTTGCTTAAAAGTGGAAGAAGAATAACTCAATCAAGAAGAAGCCAATTTTTTTTGAATTGTGACAAACTGGTCATGCAAAAAAATATTGTTTGCATGGTGGAGTATATTTGCCTAACTGCTCAAAGTTGAAAATATGTCTCTATTTATGAGTGACGATGATGAAGCTCTGTGTAAGAAATTTTTGCAACGTCACTTTATGCTCTAATTGCCATGATAGATGACATGTCATTAGTAGCGGGTCCACATGTTTGTTTAATGAGCATAAAGCTAAAAAGGTTTCTAAAAAATTAAATAAGTTAGTACTACAACTGTTTAGGAGGTTGTGACATGAACCCGATGAAATTCTTAAAGTTTATGATTAATCCAAAATGATGATACTGATAATATGGTGGAGTAGACTTATTCTCGATTATCAAAGTTCGTTAGCTTACTAGTTTTTAGACATTGCTGCAAGATGGATTTAGACATGGAACCACATTCCTCATCCTTGCCTCATTGGGAATTTCCCTATGCCATCCCGCCCCGTCCTACTTAAGTGGGGATAGGGTGGGGTAAAGGATCCCCTTCCCCATTTCTCTCCCATCTTTCTTTAATTTTTTTATTATTAAATTTTATTTTAAATTCTAAATTAACTTGTTATTAGTATTAAAGGCTATATATATAATTTATTATTAAATTTAATTCGGAAAAGAAATACCTAAATAATTGAGACAGTAAAAGATTACACAAAACTACATTATTTAAGGACATTTCTTCTCTGATAGGAGTAATTGCTTTTCGATGTGGGAAAAATTAAATTTCAACTGAAGTCCCAGGATTTAAACTATAAGTCCATGTTTGGTAGATATTAAAACACTACATCTCTACTAATCACCACCTTACAAGTTTTTAGATACCGAAGTTTATATACCTTAACTCCGAATTTAAAACAAAAAAAAGATGAACTTTATAGACCTTGGTTCCAACTTTTCATTATCATTATGAGCACAGAAAGACACCCAAATATTTTAATATCCAAGTAATTAGAAGAATTACTGGACCATACCTCTCCTGGAAAATTTTTTTTTTTCAATAACAATTGAGGGTGAACGATTGATAATGAAACAAGACGTAGAAGTAGCTACAGCCAAAAATGTCTTCGGCAACCTAGATCTTGAAAGCATACAAGAGACCTTTTCCATCAAAGTCCTATTCATCCTTTCTGCTACACCATTTTGTTGTAGAGTATGGTGCACTGTTTAGTGCCTCTGAATCTCTTCTTCCTTACAGAAATTATTGAATTCATTCGAATGAAACTCCAATCCATTATCTCGGTGGAAACGTTTTACCGGCTTTCTACTTTGCTTCTCAATTATTGTCTTCCATTCCTTGAAGATAGCAAACACACCACTCTTCTATTTACTGAAAATCTAAAGTTTTTTGGAAAAATAATCAATTATTGTCAACAAATAATATGCACCTCCTCTAGAAAGTCCATAGAGATCTGAATGGATATAATCAATTGTTCCCTTCAAATTGTGACTCATTTTCATAAACTTGACCCTATTTTGTTTTCTAAAAACACAGTGTCCACGAAATTTCAATCTGTTAGTACTCAGCCCATCAAGAAGTCCTCTTCTACTTAATTCAGTCATCTCACTTTCACTCATATGCCCAGTTGATATACCACAATTTAATAACTTCTTCATCTGATAAGGAAGATGTGGTGATGGCTGCAGCCCCTGTAACTTCAGATCCATGCAATATATATAATCTGGTTGAGCATTTTTTTTTCCTTTCATCACAACAAAAGCACATCTCCTGACTTTCAGAACTCCACTTTCACCAGTGTACCTGTACCCCTTAGCATCAAAGGTACTGGAAAATATGAGATTCTTTTTTAATTTTGGAACATCCCTCACATCTATAAGTGCCCTGATAGCCCCATTAAACATTTTAATCCTGATTGATTCAATTCCAACTATTTTACAAGGCACATTGTTTTCTATAATCATAGCACATCTCAAAATTATCTCATATATTATAAACTATTCCCTATTGGGATGTACAAGTCAAATCAAGAACCCAATCCACACAAGGTTGGAATCACCGTCAAAAATCACCAATAGCTCTCCTTCATTTGGCCATCTCCTTTGTCCTCAAGTTGCCTTTCTTTTTCTTTAGTAGCAACCATCCTCAAGTTCTTTAATTTGTAGCAGTCAGTTCTAATATGTACCTTCTTTTCAAAAAAGTGACATAACTTCTCTATATGTCTAGACCCCGATTTGCCCCTCATATAACCAAACCCTCTGCCAGGCCCAGCTCTCTAAATATCTCTTGTAAGATGTTTTTATTTTTTTTGTCTTAATTTGATTGCAAGAAGATATAGATATTTATAGAGCAAAGGAGGCCCAACCAGTCACTTTTGGTTGACCAATTTTGGTTAATTGAAAGTGTCAATATAGCCGTTGGGAAATCAAATCGTCAGAATTTCGGTTGATCATTTCTGCACTTTCGATTGACAGAAGGTTTGACCTTTTTTTAATTGCTTTTTTAAAATCTATTTCATATTGTGAATGGAAAGCATTTTTATGCAAGTGATGGATTATGAAAATAATTTAGCTTTATGCACTTGTTAAGAATCAATGAGTTAATACATTTACATTTAAATTTTGATAAACTACTTCTAAATTTTAATCTTCAAAGTTCTTGTTCTTGTTCTCATCGAGTCTCATTTGATTGCTTGTTCNTAAGAAGTGTAATCTCCATGTGCAAGTCTATTATGCCATTTTTATATGTGATCAACCTTAGTAGAAGAGATAGAGGAATTTGAACCTCTCATCACTTCTCCAGTAGTTATATAAATATCATTTTTTTTCTAATTCCCTTAATAGAGACAAGTGCACCCTTAACCAATTTCAAAACTTCATTTCCAATTTTACCAGTGAAATCAGCTTTCTTAAGTCTTCCTACTGAAATTAAATTTCTAGAGAATTCAGGAATATATCTAACATCTTTTAAAGTATACACAAAACCAGTGTCAAACTTTAAAGTAATATCACCAATGCCAACAACATTATAAGCAAAATCGTCACACAAAACAACATCACCATCATTTGATTCATGCAAATTTCCAAACCAGTCTTTTTGAGATGTCACGTGAAAAGATACACTAGAATCAAGTATCCATTAATGCAATCGAGAATTGGCAGTTAAATTCAATTCAACAGGATAAGCAATAGGACTTGTAATCATATAGACCTCACCATCACCACTGTCGAAAATAGAAGACAATACATTTACCTCGTCTCTATCTTTACGCTTTTGCTTATTTTTCTCTTTATAGCAATCCTTTATAAAATCTCATGTGTTCCCACGGTCATATCATTTCTTAACATTTGTCCTAAATTTGGATATAGGCCTACCCTTGCTCCTCTTTCTACCTCCATTACTACTTGACTCGCCACTACTTTAGTAACCATCATGAATTTTTTCCTAAATTGAGTTATATCCCTCATCATGATAATCTCACTGTTTTTCTTATCATATGTTTCAGCTCTAGGGGTCAAATTATCTCTACCATACTTAATAGTATTTTTTACATTCTTATAAGTATCAGGTACGTAATTCAGAAAAATAATAGCCTTATATGCATCAAACATTGACTCTTCACGGTTAACAATACATTGAACAAGTTTGTTAAATAAGTCTAAATTGTTATCAACATCTTTTGAATGATCCAATTTGAAACTAAAAAAACACTCAAGTACGTAAAGTTTGTTTGAAGTAAATTTGTGCAAATACAAGTCTTCTAACTTTTTTCAAAGTTGTTTAGTAGTTTTTAGTTTACTCACTTTTCTTAAAACTGCGTTAGGCAAGTGTAAAATAATTGAGGTATAAGCAAGCTCATCAGCTTCTTCTTGTTGTTCTTTTAAAAAATCAGTGGGAAAATTGCCATCAATGGTTTTTGAAACTCTTTTATTGAACCAAAATACTTCTCATTTTTTGTTATCGATTGAAAAATCAAATTTTTCGTTAAAAGTTCCGAAATCAAAATTGTGTGTTGTAATTTTGAATAATCAATTAAGAATACAAGATCACAATTAAGCCACGCAAAATAGACCTACGGTCACAAATATACACCGTTTTAGATTTCTCGGGATTATGTAAGATTTTCGATCTTAAATCAAGAGAATGTTCAAAAGGTAAGGTGTAGGTATTCTAATAATTTAACAATGCAACAAGAGATATGTTAACCAAAACAGTTTCACAGACTGAATATCGCAAAGATAGTACGCTGGAATTTATCAAATAAACATTTTACTTACATACAAACTAAAAATCAGTAGTTCCTAATTTCTAGTACAGGCAATGATTACCCCACCCGATAACCCCAATCTTATTGTCACCCCATATGATGACGTGCTAGTGTTGGAAATTCAACATGATTAGCTAATTTACTAGAATGGACCTATCTGAGTCCGTAAATTATGAGGAATATGGTTTTAACACTTTAGGACCACCACCATTCGCCCTAAAGTCTGCAGCAAT